CCCCAAAACCCCAAAACCCCAAAACCCCGTATTCGATAGGTAATAGGATTCTAGAAATTGTAATAATAAAAATTAATAATATCTTTTTTATTTTATAGAGATTCTTGTTATATCAGAGATAATAGATTAAATAATCAATTATTATTATTGAAGTATGACTCAAACAGCTAAACCTTAATTAATCACTTCAATCGTCATTGTTGCATTGTTTACAATAGTGCCAACAATTGAAGCACATGCCCGTTTTTAACCTTATACTATTGATGACGATGAATTCAACTATTTGGATTTTTCAAGCTATGAGCTTTTGCAAGTGATGAATCCTCAAGGTTATGGAAAAGTAAATGAATTATTTTTTCCAAAAACTACAATGATCTCACCTGGATCTTCATATTTTGAGCCTGGTATTAATGTAGAGGAAGATGTACCGAAGATCACCAGTCTTAGTACTTGGATGACCGACCTTAAGAAATACAAAAAAATAGCACCTCTTAAGATAAATTAGATTGCCATTCCAGGTGCCCATCATGCTGGTCTTACTTATCTACTGCCACTTTTTGAGTCAGTTCAGAAAATATTTAGATAGTTTGGATTAGAAAGCGACTCTGGAACTTTCGGTTTACCTAAAGAATACCTATTTAAAATTGTTAACTCATTACTTGTTCCTCATCACCATTCAGTCGCTTAAATACTTGAGCAAGGCGGAAGGTATTTAGACCTTAGAGTAGCTAGAGACATTAATGATCCATAACAGATTTACTTAGCACATTGCTTTTTGTCAAAGATTAGACTGAATGACACGTTAGCTGATATAAATGAATTCCTTAACAAAAACCCAGGTGAAATCATTTTCATTGATATTCCAGGCGATGATGGTCCCTTAGGTACAGTTGGTGACTCAGTACCTCACTAACAAATAGATCATCAGATTAGAAAGTATATAGACAGTAAATTCATACTCTCAAGAAAGAACATCAGCTAGCCTATTTCAACATATGGTGGAATCTACTTCTCAAGTTTTGAAGTGAATTCAACTATAGATCAGATTAAGATTAAGGGAGGTTGGTCAATGACTCACTCAGACAATCCTTATGATGTAATTCAAAATATTTAAGAATACTACGAGAACGGAAGTTACTTAAAACAAGAACCACTTGACTATGATGTCTTAAAGTGTGATCCCTACATAACAGGGACTAAAGATACTATGATACAGACTATAAAATACGAAACTCTTCTTTAAAAATATGATCAACCTGTAGATCCATTGATTAATGCCAGATTCATCCCAGCAAATCTAAAATCTACAGCTCAACTTACCAATCCTTTGTTCTATAATTCAGTTTACAGATCTAAAGTGCTCACTCAGGTATTGAATATTATTGAAATGGATGATTTTAATTCTGGAAACGCAATTAGAGCTATTGAAATCAATATTAACAGATACTATCCTTGAATAATGATAATAGTCTTCCTTTCATAATAATTTATACTATTACGCTTAATTACGCTTAAAGATTTACAATCAATATTAGCAAATGGGGTTTTGGGGTTTTGGGGAGATC